ACCCCAATATCCGAAGCATCAACTTCAAGAATATAGGGCAGTGAGGGGACAGGATGCTGTAAAATAGGTGCAGAGGCGAACGTAGTTTTAAGAAATTCAAAAGCCTGAAGTGCCTCGGTAGACCAAACACGAGTATTGCCATCCTTTTTAGTCATACGAGTGATAGGTGCTACAATGGACGAGAAACCTTTGATAAAACGTCTATAATAATTGGAGAACCCAAGAAAACGCTGAATAGCTTTCAGACCTTGCGGTAGAGGCCATTCTATTACAGCAGCAAGCTTCTGGGGATCCATACGAAAACCTTTAGCTGAAATCAAATACCCCAAGAACTGGACTTCGGTTTGGTCAAACAGACATTTTTCTAGCTTGCAATAAAGACCATTAGCAAGAAGGGTCTTCAAAACTGTCGTAACATGTCTGTGATGAGTGTGTATATCTGCAGAATATATTAAAATGTCGTCCAAGTATACGATAACAAATGTGTGAATAAAATCTCTCAATACATCATTAATAAATTCTTGGAATACTGCTGGGGCATTGCAAAGCCCAAATGGCATAACAGTGTATTCGTAATGACCGGATCTAGTGTTGAATGCAGTCTTCCATTCGTGATTTTCCTTTATACGTATCAAATTGTATGCATTCCTAAGGTCTAATTTAGTGAACACAGTGGCATGTTTCAGCCTGTCAAATAATTCTGTAATCAAAGGTATAGGGTATGCATTTTTGATAGTGATTTTGTTTAGACCTCTATAATCTATACACGGTCTTAAATCACCTTCTTTCTTCGATACAAAGAAGAACCCTGCTCCAGCTGGAGAAGAGGATCTCCTAATAAACCCTTTTTCTAATGATTCCTTGATGTACTCCTCCATGACACGGTTTTCTTGAACCGATAAGGGGTACACCCTGCCCTTTGGAGGTATAGTGCCAGGCAACAAGTCAATAGCGCAATCATAGGGTCTGTGAGGCGGTAATTTCTCAGCCTCCCTTTTATCGAAAACAGTCTTTAGAGATAAATACTGAGGGGGTATAACCATAGACAAAGGAGGACTGGTAGGTACCTCAATAGAATTCAAAGGTGTGACTTCCAACGTACAAGACTCGTGGCAGGCCTTACTCCATGATTTTATTTGCCCTGTCTCCCAGTCAAAAATGGGATTGTGAGCACGTAACCATGGATACCCTAATACTAACTGTGAAGAGGGAGAGGTGATAACCTGGAATCGAATGGTTTCGTAGTGTAAAACCCCTGTGTACATGTGTAGTGGTTCAGTCTCATGAGTAACAACTGGAGAACTTAATGGTCTACCATCTATGGCCTCAACGGCCAAGGGTATCTCCTTCTCTCTGATGGGAATGTTGTTTCTCTTTATAAAGCCAGAGTCTATAAAATTTTCAGCTGCCCCAGAGTCAACCAGAGCATATATGTTGTCAACTATACAAATCTCTCCCATATATAAAGAAACCGGGAGAAGCAAGCGGTTAGGAGGCAATTTAGGAGACTTAGATATCACACCCAAGGCCAGTCCCCTATAAGGTCTTAGGTGCGAGAGTTTTCCGGGAGTAAAGGACATTCCTTTACCATATGGTCTCTCCTACCACAGTATAGGCAGAGTCCCTCCCTTCTCCTATGTAATTTCTCAGTATCAGAGAGTTTGGCAACCCCTAATTGCATAGGTTCCTCCTCAGACACTTTAACACTCTCTGGTATATTAACTCTGGGGTTAATGGGTGTAACAAAACGTCTATTCCTGTTCTTGGTATAGAGCCTGTCACGAATTCTATTATCAATATCAATGAGGTAATCGATAAGGTCCTCTAAGGCAATAGGAAGCTCCTTAGCTGCTACCTCATCCAATATCGTATCTGACAAACCTTCCATAAAGGCAGTAGTTAACCCATTGTTGGTCCAATCTACCTGCGAAGCAAGAGTGCGAAACTGAATAGCATAATCAGCCACAGACCTAGAACCCTGTTTAATTCTCATTAATGCTCTTGCGGCATTCTTTGACCTTTTCATTGTGTCAAAAGTTCTACGAAAAGCCGTAAGAAAACTGTTGAAATCATGTACCATAGGCCCATTAGCCTCCCAAATAGGATTTGCCCACTCAAGTGCCTTATCGGTAAGTTGGTGCATAAAGAACCCAACCTTAGACCTCTCTGTGGGAAATGAACGTGGATACATTTCAAAGTGAAATTCAATCTGATTAATAAACCCTCTGCAAGTCTTAGAGTCCCCTCCATACCTAGGAGGAGGTGTTAAATGGGCCGAAGTATTAGGCAAAGTAGATACTTCAGGGAGAAGGGGCGTAGGAGGGTTAGGTGTAGTTGCTGGAACGGTTCTAGCTAGGAGCGTCTGGAGAGCCTGAGCTATTTGATCCATACGGTGATCCTGCTCTACAAATCTTGCCTCATGGGACGCCATCTGTTGAGCTAAATCTGCGGGGTCCATGGCCCTATCGTAATGTAACGAGAATATACCCCTACACGCAGGATCCAGCTAAACAGAGGCAAATACAGAGGAGAGATACGTCTACCGGACCTTAGAATGGCCGGACTTGACGTATATGAGAGAAGACAGAGCCAGGAACAAACCGAGGTCAAGGGCACAGAGAGACAGCGTAAACTAGGACAAGCCGGGGTCTGGTACACGGAAAACAGCAAGCCGGCAAACAGTACAGATAAGGATAAAGCGAAAACGAAGTCAGAATACGAAGCCAAAGTCAATACGAGAAAACACAACTGAACACCACAAGCGCTAAAGGGAACTGAAACAGAAACCACGATAGGGCAAGGAACAAAGGGAAGAAGGTGAGTATAAATACCTAAACATCTAATTTGATTGGTCCCTGTCACATCCACGCCCCCAAAAGGTAAGTGTATGGGGAGTGTGGCATGACAGGGACCAATGGGATGCCTTTTCCAATTTAGGCACCCACTGTCCCTTTAAGAGCGCGCCCGAGACTCGCGGCGCGCTCTTAGATTCAGGCGGGACACGTGACCGCCTCACGCGGTCACTGCCCGCCGTCCATCCGAAGTAGTTGGGTGAGCCGCGCGCGGCTCGTGCAGCCGCAGGACCGCGCGCGGCTTGAAGAGAGGACCGCGACCGGCCCCCGGTTAAGGTAAGTAACGCTACAGAAGCATATTGATATTCAAACAAAAGGTCAACTAAGAACAAGATTAGCTTGGAAGCCTTTTTAGACAATTGTGAAGAAAATTGACTTTTACCTGTCATTTTCTCCTTTTTATTCGGTATTTTTATGTTATTACTTGTATAGTGAATGGATTGGTTCGGTAGTTTGAAACTACCGAACGCCGACCACTTCCTGGCTCATTTACTTCAAAGGAACCAGCTATTAAGTGCTCCCTGGGCGGCCGCTGTTCGTACAACCGAATGCCACGTGGAAAAGAAAACGGCGGCCATCTTGTTCGCACGAGGAGAGCCAGCAGGACTTGGTCGTCGAGTGCCTGGAACTAAAATCGGACACTCTACCTCGCGAACTACCGCTGAAAACTACCGAATGCCGGCTTCTCATATTTCCCGAACAGCCAGGAAAGCCTCATTCGGTAGTTCTGTGCGAACGGACAAGGGGAGCAATCTCTACTATGGGCCAGGGGGATCCATTTGGGACTTTTGTTCATTTTTTACGGTTTTGTGAATTGACCGACCGCACACGCTGAACTGTTTTGGGCAGGAGCTGCGTGTGTGGCCGGTAAAAGGGACCCTCCACACTTTTTCGAACCCCTGAACCGATCTGGGTGAAATTTGGATATGTTTTTCCCCAGATCGGGGCTATCATGGGATATGTAATTTGTGTGGATACCTTGTGGGGAAAGGGGTGTTCTATGTTTTGAGGAAATTGTGTGCTCTCTGCCTGGAGATAATTGGTTTATTCCTTAACTTATCTCAATATCTCCCAGGCAGAGAGGAGGCGTGTATTACTGTAAAACTGTGTGTTGATTGGTTGTTGTCTTTCTTTGCTATGGGAGGTCCTCTTGCAGGAGGATTTCTGATAAAAGCCTGTGTGTTTTCAATAAACCTCATTCCTGTTACACCCTTCATGAAGTCTAGGCTCATGTTTGGGGGATATTCTACTTGCTGGGAAGAATCACCTTGGAACTGCATTTCATCTATCTTATTCCTCTAATCCCTGCTGCAGCTATAATCACTCAAGCTCAGCTGTTGGGAGAGGGAACCAAAGACCGCAGCACCATAACCACTGCAGGTCTTAACAACAATTATATGCAAAATAATCGTAAAACTAAAAGAAAAACAGAGAACTGAAAACTGAAGTTTTTTTAAATAAATATCTCATATAGCTGGAATCGAGATTGTTACCTTCAATTGAGAAATTTTACCCTAAATGCTCATCACATTCTTCGCTAATAATTTCTATATAAAACTAATGAATTACATTGGTAATAAATCTCTAGGAAAGTAACACAGACAATCTATTGCCTTGATCCATATTAACTCATTCAGGGTTATTCCCCTAAGGTGAGAATTCAAAGTGAGTTTCAAAGGTCAAATTTGCCGAATCTCTAAGTTAGCCATGCTCCCAGTTTAATTCAATTTAAAGTCTCACTTTAGTGAACAGCCCTGTATATAAAGTTCATTATCTAATAATAAATCAGGGGAAAACTGAAAAATTGTGAGCTGAGATCTTTTACCATCACTGCTAATACAAACAGATTGCTGCTTACAAAATAATTAGAAAGCCGGTGGCTCTTCATCCAGGACGTTACTCAAACTATGTCACTGTGTTATAATGTGTGAGTCCCCTTTAGTCAGAACAGAGACATTTATCAATCAGGAAAAAACAAAACTGACCACAAAATGCAGGCTCCCATCTCTCCGAATAATCTAGTGAAAAGCTTGCAGAGGGAAAAGAATGAGATAGGTCTGCTAGATAATGCCAGAAAACACTGAATCCATTGCTAGGTGAACAATGATTTCTCAAATTATCTGAAGACGAGCTGTCACAGCAGAGAGGATGCTACCTGTATACCTACCTGTGGCTGTCACAGCTGATAGAATGCTACCTGTAGACCTACCCGTGGCTGTCATAGCTGAGAGGATGCTACCTGTAGACCTACCTGTGGCTGTCACAGCTGATAGAATGCTACCTTTAGACCTACCTGTGGCTGTCATAGCTGAGAGGATGCTACCTGTAGACCTACCTGTGGCTGTCACAACTGATAGAATGCTACATGTAGACCTACCTGTGTCTGTCACAGCTGATAGAATGCTACATGTAGACCTACCTGTGGCTGTCACAGCTTATAGAATGCTACCTGTAGACCTACCTATGGCTGTCACAGCTGATATAATGCTACATGTAGACCTACCTGTGGCTGTCATAGCTGAGAGGATGCTACCTGTAGACCTACCTGTGGCTGTCACGGCTGATAGAATGCTACATGTAGACCTTCCTGTGGTTGTCACAGCAGATAGAATGCTACATGTAGACCTACCTGTGGCTGTCACAGCTTGTAGAATGCTACCTGTAGACTTACCTGTGGCTGCCATAGCTGAGAGGATTCTACCTGTAGACCTACCCATAAATGCCCAAGCTGACAGGATGCTACCTGTAGACCTACCTGTGGCTGTCACAGTTGAGAGGATGCTACCTCTCAACTGTGGCTGTCACAGCTGAGAGGATGCTACCTGTAGTCCTACCTGTGGCTGTCACAGCTGAGAGGATGCTACGTGTATACCTACCTGTGACTGTCACAGCTGAGAGGATGCTATCTGTAGACCTACCTGTGGCTGTCACAGCTGAGAGGATGCTACGTGTATACCTACCTGTGACTGTCACAGCTGAGAGGATGCTACCTGTAGTCCTACCTGTGGCTGTCACAGCTGAGAGGATGCTATCTGTAGACCTACCTGTGGCTGTCACAGCTGAGAGGATGCTACGTGTATACCTACCTGTAACTGTCACAGCTGAGAGGATGCTATCTGTAGACCTACCTGTGACTGTCACAGCTGAGAGGATGCTACGTGTATACCTACCTGTGACTGTCACAGCTGAGAGGATGCTATCTGTAGACCTACCTGTGACTGTCACAGCTGAGAGGATACTATCTGTAGACCTACCTGAGGCTGTCACAGCTGACAGGATACAGATGACTGTAAGTATATAAACCATGATCTGTGGATCCAGACCTGTTGGCAGGGATAACGTAGATGGACAATGGCAGTCTGTTCTTAGAATGATACACCTTGATCTCGAAACATAATAAAAAGAGCACATGGAGGCGGGCTTAGACTGGGAGGTACCAATATCCTGTAATATGGAAATTATTCAATGGAACTGAATGAGACAATTTGTTCTTTGATACATATTATTTACGAAAAGGTTGGTTACTCTTTGATTATAAATTTATAGCTTTTTTGAGATTTCATAAGGGCTGATTTAATTAGGGTAATATTTCAGGAATCCATCATGTTTTATGTAATCTGAAAGCAATCCATTACAATATGTTATAAAGGGTTGCTGATCATGAACAAAATCAATTACCTGCTAAACAGTAAGTGTCTCTCTCAGTACATTATAAAGGGTTGCAGTAAGTGGCTCTCTCGGTATATTATAAAGGGTTACAGTAAGTGGCTCTCCCAGGATATTATAAAGGGTTACACTAAATGGCTGTCTCAGAATATTTTAAAGGGTTACAGTAAATATCAGTATATTACAAAGGGTTACAGTAGTTATCTCAGTATATTATAAAGGGTTGCAGTAAGTGGCTCTCCCAGGATATTATAAAGGGTTACAGTAAGTGGCTGTCTCAGAATATTTTAAAGGGTTACAGTAAATATCTCTCAGTATATTACAAAGGGTTACAGTAGTTATCTCAGTATATTATAAAGGGTTGCAGTAAGTGGCTCTCCCAGGATATTATAAAGGGTTACAGTAAGTGGCTGTCTCAGAATATTTTAAAGGGTTACAGTAAATATCTCTCAGTATATTACAAAGGGTTACAGTAGTTATCTCAGTATATTATAAAGGGTTGCAGTAAGTGGCTCTCCCAGGATATTATAAAGGGTTACAGTAAGTGGCTGTCTCAGAATATTTTAAAGGGTTACAGTAAATATCTCTCAGTATATTACAAAGGGTTACAGTAGTTATCTCAGTATATTATAAAGGGTTGCAGTAAGTGGCTCTCCCAGGATATTATAAAGGGTTACAGTAAGTGGCTGTCTCAGAATATTTTAAAGGGTTACAGTAAATATCTCTCAGTATATTACAAAGGGTTAC